ACATGTCTCAAGAAGAACTCACAGCCCCAGAGCCAATAAATCTAAGTGATGAAGAAATAGCCAAACTTTCAGATGCACAGTTCAAAAACACTGGTGATCAGGATCCTCACAGAACTGGTTGATTTTAGTCACAAATCAGAGGAATATATGAAAGCTAAACTAATTGAAATGAATGGTAATGCACAGGAAACCAATAGTAATGGAAAGGAAACTGGGACTCAAATCAAGGGAGTAGACCAGAAGGAAGAAAAAAATTACCAAACAGAAAAATATGAAGAAACAAGAATTCAGAAAAATGAGGAGAGGCTTAGGAATTCTCCAGGACATCTTTAAATGCTCCAACATTCAAATTATAGGGGTACCAGAAGGGGAAGAGGAACACCCACGAGTGGAAAACTTATTTGAACAAATACTAAAGGAGAATTTCCCCAATCTGAAAAAGGAAATAGACTTCCAGGAAATCCAGGAAGCTCAGAGAGTTCCAAAGAAGTTGGACCCAAGAAGGAACACACCAAGGCACATCATAATTACATTAGCCAAGATTAAAATGAAGGACAGAATCCTAGAAACAGCAAGACATAAGGGGACAGTCACCTACAAAGGAGTTCCCATCAGACCGTCAGCTGATTTCTCAAAAGAGACCTTACAGGCAAGAAGGGGCTGGAAAGAAGTATTCCAAGTCATGAAAACCAAAGACCTACATCCATGATTGCTCTATCCAGCAAAGTTTCATTTAGAATGGAAGGACAGATATAGTGCTTCTCAGATAAGGTCTAATTCAAGGAGTTCATCATCACCAAGCCCTTATTATATGAAATGATAAAGGGACTTATCTAAGAAAAAGAAGATAAAAAAGATGAACAGTGAAAGGACAGCAAACTCACAGTTATTAACAACCACACCTAAAACAAAAGCAAACTAAGAGGACAGCTAGATCAGGAGCAGAACCATAGAAATGAAGATCACGTGGAGGGTTAGCAACAGGGGAGTGGGAGGAGGAGAAGGGAAGAGAAGGTACAGAAAATAAGTAGCATAGATGGTAGATAGAAAATAGATGGGGAGGGTAAGAATAGTATGGGAATATATAGAAGTTAAAGAACTTGAGACACGTGTTCATGAACTAAAGGGGGAGGGAATGGCAGGGGAGGGGTGTGCAGGGTGGAGGGGAATGGAGGGGGGAAATAAAACAAATGTAATGACATAATCAATAAAAGAAAAAAGAAGAAGAAAAAAGTACACCATGTGAAACAAAAAAACAATGTTGATTAACTTGGTAATTTATAATAAAAAGATACTTTGAAAATCTCCATGTATTTAAAATTAAGAAATACATTTTAAAGAACCTAGTGGGAAAAAAGAAATGACAAATGGAAAATTTTAAATATTTAGAGTAGAATGATAACAAAATACTACATATCAAGATTTGTGCTTCCATTTAAGAAGTTCTTAGAATACTTAAAAGGAGAATTATATAGTCTTGAAGGAAGAAAGACAGAACATTAATGAGAAAGCATCTATTTCAAACATTAGAAAAAGTGAAATACTCAAAAGGTAGAATTAAAAAATAATATGGACTAGAAAATGATGATATATAAAACACATAAAAACATAATATAGAAAATCAAACAAAAGGCAAAAAACATTTTTTCCATTTTTAAATATATTTTATTATGCTATTACACTTGTCCCCTTCCCCCTTCATTCCCTTCCACTCTGCACACCCTCTTCCACCCACACTTTCCCCCCTTAGTTCGTGTGCATGTGTCTTACATTCTTTGGCTTCTAGATTTCCTATACTATTCTTGTCCTCCCCCTATTTTCTACCTACCGTATATGTTACTTATTCTCTGTACCTTTTCCCCTCTTCTCCTCCTCCCACTCCCCTATTGCTAACCCTCCATGTGATCTTCATTTCTGTGGTTCTCTTCCTGTTCTAGTTGTTGGCTTAGTTTGTTTTTAAGTGTGGTTGTTCATAACTGTGCGTTTGCTGTCTTTTTCCTGTTCATATTTTTATATTCTTTTTCTTAGATAAGTCCCTTTAATATTTCATATAATAAGGGCTTGGTGATGATGAACTCCTTGAACTTGACCTTATCTGAGAAGCACTTTATCTGCCCTTTCATTCTAAATGAAAGCTTTGCTGGATAGAGCAATCATGGATGTAGGTCTTTGGATTTCATGACTTGGAATACTTCTTTCCAGCCCCTTCTTGCCTGTAAGGTCTCTTTTGAGCAATCAGCTGACAGTCTGATGGGAACTCCTTTGTAGGTGACTGTTCCCTTATCTCTTGCTGTTTCTAGGATTCTGTCCTTCATTTTAATCTTGGCTAATGTAATGATGATGTGCCTTGGTGTGTTCCTTCTTGGGTCCAACTTCTTTGGGACTCTCTGAGCTTCCTGGATTTCCTGGAAGTCTATTTCCTTTGCCAGATTGGGGAAGTTCTCCTTTAGTATTTGTTCAAATAAGTGTTCTACTTGTTGCTCTTCCTCTTCCCCTTCTGGTACCCCTATAATTTGGATGTTGGAATGTTTAAAGATGTCCTGGGGGTTCCTAAGCCTCTCCTCATTTTTTTAAATTCTTGTTTCTTTATTCTTTTCTGTTTGGTAATTTTTTTTCCTTCTGGTCTACTCCCTTGATTTGAGTCCCAGTTTCCTTTCCATCACTATTGGTTTCCTGTGCATTTCCCTTCATTTCACTTAGTGTAGCCTTCATTTGTTCCTCTAATTTGTGACTAAAATCAACCAATTCTGTGAGCATCCTGATCACCAGTGTTTTGAACTGTGCATCTGATAGGTTGGCTATCTCTTGGTCACTTAGAATTATTGGCTCTGGGGCTTTGAGCTGTTCTCGAGCCATAATGTTTTGGTCTGTTCATGCCTGTTATGTAGTTAGGGGCAGAGCCTTAGGTGTTCACCAGGGTGGGGGGACCCAAGTCACTGGTTTGTGACGCTGTATGTGGAGGCGGGGTCAGAGAGGGGCAATGGCATTTGTTCTGCTCTCTTAGATTTCAGTCCCCTCTGTTGCTTCCCACAAGCAAACCTGGCCCCCCTGGTGCCGGCTCCTGGGTATGTGGGCCTGTGTCTCTCCAACAAACTCTTTGTGAGCCTGGGAGCTTCTTCCGACAGCTCAACCCTGAATGTTTTTCCAATTGGTGCTGTTAGGCTTTAATTCCCATCGCTGGGATCCTAGCCTGTGCAGTCTGTCTCACTGCTCACTCCTTTGCTTGGTTTATCTGCGTGCAAATGTGTGACGGCCATCAGCCAGCCGCCTTGTGTCCTCACTGGGTCCACCCATTGCCAACCCACGCCTGGGTCAGTCTGATCCTGCTGCTTTTTCCTGCCCAACCCCATTCCGACAGCCACTGACTCCACCCCTCTTACCAGTGTGGATGAAATGTTCATTGTTGTCAGACTTCTGTACAGTTCAATTTTCTGTGTTTTGGCTATGTTTTTGTTACTAAAACTTTGTTGTCTTTAAACTTGGTTGCGCAAGGAGGTACAGTGTTTCCACCTATGCCTCCATCTTGGCCGGAAGTCTACATTTTTCTTAATAAATGGTACTTAAATATCCACATAGAAAAAAGACTACTGCTTCACAACACACACTGAAGTAATTCCAGGTGGATTAAAGACACAACTAGGAAAGACAAAGTTAGAAAGCTTTTAGAAGTTTAGAAAGTTAGAAAGAAAGTATTTTTATGATCCTGAGAGAGAGAGAAACATTTTAAACAAGATTCAAAAAGCATTAGTCGCAAAACAGGAAAAAGACATAAAAAGAGTAGAAAGAAAGCCATGATGAAAGAGATCATTCCAAAACACACACACACACACACACACACACACACACACACACAGAATATATAAAGAACTTCTCTAAATCAATAAGAAAAAGCTAAACAACTGCAGGTGAAAGATGACTACAGATTCCTTGATATTTCTCTCATCGAGAGGTGGACTCTTCTTTGCTTGAATGTAGCTGGCCTTAGCGACTTGCTTGGCGCATTCGCCAACATATCTGGAACATGCAGCTTCCACCTAGGTCTCTCGTAATGCTTGCTCTTGGGGGAAACCAGCTGCTATGTAAGAAACCTGACTGTGCTGAGATGACATGCTGTGAGAAAGCCATTTTTCAGCTGATCCACATCTCAGCCATTTGACAGCCCAGTCCTGCTCAAATTGATGACTCATGAGCAAAGTTAGTGCTGCCCCTTTAAGCCACTAAGTTTGGGGATGTTCTTTTATAAATGCAGCAATAAAGAACCAGAATAGCAACCCAACAGAAAAAATGGACAAAAGATTTGAACATATACTTCTCAAAAGAGAAAACCCATTCGTTTTCTCTTTTGAAGGAGAAGAGCAGAAGGAGAGGAGTACTGGGAAGATTTTTCTTCAAGATTCCATTTATTTATTTTTAGAGAGGGTGGAAGCAAGGGAGAAAGAAAGGAAGAGAAACATCCATATGGGAGAGAAACCTGGATGGGTCACCACTCCCGCGCCCCCTGCTGGGGGACCTGGCAGGCAATCCAGGCATGTGTACTGATCAGGAATCGAATCTGCAGGCTTTGGGTTTGCAGGCTGGAGCTCCGGCCACTGATCCACAACCAGCCAGGGCTCTGAAGATTCTTTAGGGTGTTAAAATATTTTCCGCCAAGGACTTATCATTATCTAACATACTATACTTTTTAAACTCATTTATTTTGTTTATCAGTCTCCCCACACTAGGCCGTAAGCTACCAACAGCAGGTTTTTGTCGGTTTTATTCACTACGGCACACCCAGTGTCTGGAAGAGTGCCTGGCACGTAGAAGGGGGTGGGCCACCGTTCCTAAAATAAATAAACATGACTTGCACACGTTGCATAGTAAAACTGCAGAACTGAGAATTTGCACCCATGTGTCGGGCCACCAATCAACCTGGTTAACATCGAGGAAACTGAAGGGGCGGGACCAGCAGTGGGGCGCGGTCAGTATCTGAAGTCTGAAGTCTCTCCCCAGCTAGATGCTCTGTGCGGTTAAGTGTGAAGCTAGCGGGGAACCCGGAGGGCGCTGCGGGACCTATTCTCCCGGTCCGGGACTACTCAAGGCATCACAGGACCTGTGAAGGAACCAGAGGGCCAGGTCCGCCCCTGCCGCAAGGTGGCGACAGATCCCGCTGGGCGCACCTGAAGTTGCCCCAGATCCCAGCCTCCTGCTCCTTCCTCCTGCGACCAGTGAGGCTGAGCCAAAAGGACTGGCAGTGCCCGGGACCCTGAGCCGAGGCCTGGCGGAGGAACCGCGGACTCCGGACAGACGGACCTCTGTTATTTGAGCTACAACCTGAAGGTGAGTCATCTCGAACGACTGGTTTAAGGTCAATGTGGCTCGACTGAGGAGAGCAGGGCTAGGACGGTGGCTGGGAGGAGGAGGGGCTTGAGAGCTGGCTGGCTGAGGTTTGGGACTTTTTCCCGAAGTGCCAGATAGTTTACAGGTTTGTTTCTTTTTTTTAATCCCTCTTTTGGATAAGGATGAGAAATGGAGGGAAAGAGTGTGAAGTAGGAACAGTGGCAGCGATGGCGCTGATCAGTCTATTATGAAGTTCAGTGGGACACGGGCGTAAGTTGATTGCATGCGAAGTGAAGAAGGAAAGGGACACAGCAACCCCTCAGGGTTCTGGTTTGAGCAACTGCGGAGATGGAGCTGCTGCGTGATGGGGGGGGGGGGGGGTGAGGGGTGAAAAGAGAGTTCCAGAATACAATTTGGGACCTTACTGAAACTTAGACAACTAGAGATTAGATAAAATTTGATCCACTTTCCTATTGAGGTCACTGGGAGAAAATGCCTATCAGGGGACTTCCAGCGAAGCTGAGGGTATTTTTGCTCCAGCTGACGAAAATGTTCTTGTGACTGGTGAAGTTGGACTCTGCTAATACTAGCGTTGGACCTGGATAAAATGTTACAGCCAGCCTCATTCTTGGGGTGAAGCGTCCAAGGACAGGAATATAAATGCAGCAGCAAATGAGAGTGTCAAGTGTTTCTTGTGATGGCAGCCGTCATCTGCCTGCCTGTCCCTATACCAACCTATGCACAGCCCAAGAAGCTGATCCTGCCAGCCTCTGTGCCCCGCGAAGACAGCAGCCTCGCAGCAGCCAATGCTGTGGTTATGAATGTGATAGTCAAGCCAGACTGTCTGAGTTTGTAATCCCAGCTTCAGTTCCGCTACCTGCATGACCTCAGGCAATTTTTTTGTGCCTCAGTTTTCTCATCTGTAAAATGGGAATAATAATATTTATGTCATATGATTGTGGTGAAGCACTTAAAAGAGTGCCAGGCACATTATAAAAAATTTTGTATTTGATAGGAGACTTGATCATGTGGGAGCAGTGAGTATCTTGGACAAACTCAAACTGCAGGCACAGATTTCTTTAATAAACACCAGATTTTTTAAGTTGTTTCTTTCCACCCCACTTTATGTCCTGAGAAAGCCGCCAGGTGGCGCTGTCCCACCAGCAGCAGGCGCTCAGCAGTGGAGTCAGGCTGGGAAGCAATCTGGGCATCACCATCACCTGAGGGCTTTGAAAAAATACCAGCGACCCCACCCCTCCCCCGCGGGCTCAGACTGAGACGGCCTGGGCATAAGTATTGTACAGAGCTTCATGGGTAGAGCTGAGAATCTGTGCTCTAGGCAGGGCAGGCAAGGAGATTCTGCAAGATATGAGCAGTAGTGGAGGGGGCCAGGGTGCAATTTGAGAGGCCAGCTGAGGAGAAGGGGCCATCCAGGAGACCGAGGCCAGCAAACTCTGAAGGTCAAGGGCTTCAGGACCTGGACAAGGCCCTGGGAGGTCCCCAGTGACCTTAGCAGACAAGATGCTGGGTGGGGATAGACTAAAGTGTACAGTAAAGCCACCAAGAAAGATGGGGAAAGGAGAGAATGGGTAGCAGGGCATGTACACAGTTCCTCTTAGAAGCTTGCAGATGGAAAGGAGAAGGACAGCAGAGGGCAACTGGAGGCAGATGTGGAATCAAGGAAAGTTTGGTTTGTTTTCTTTTAGGGTGGGGCCTGCTGGTCGAGTTGGGGTGCTGGAAAACCTCCAGGAAAAAGAGGAGAGAAGGAGGGGGTGTGGGAGCAGGCCCCGGAGCCCTGTGGGCCCACCTCAGAGTGAGAAGAGGAGGGAGGCGCTGGGCAAGAAAGAGCATGTGAGGAACCTGAAATAAGGAGGTAACACTGTGGCTCCCCTGTCCTCCAAAAACAAGAGTGGAGTGTGGAGCACAGGGGTTTAAAGACAAGGAAAGTCTGGAAGAAAAGGAGATGTGCTCCAAAAGCAGCAAGGAAGACAGATTACATCCTTCCCAGGCTAAGGTTAGATGGGAGGAGAAGAAACAGACCCTTACCCCACCTACTCTCCGTAGGTGTGGGGCCCTAAGTCTGCAATGGGGAGAGAATACTCCGAGTATAAGGAAAGGAGGGAGGGAGAGAGAGAGGAGGCAGAGCAATTGGAAGAGCTGCAAGGGGAAGGTGGGAACCAGAGGGGAAGCATGTTCACTGTGTCTGGGCTCTCATACCTCCAGCCCTGCAGCCCCACCCTGCCAGGCCCAGCCAGGTTCTTCTTCCTCCTGGAAATCTTTTCACAGACTGCCAGAGGAGCTCAGGTTCTCCTTCCTGTCTGTCCCCATACAAGCGCTCTGAAACAAAGCTAGTGCCTGTGCCCACCGGCAACTCAGGTCAGACATAGCTCAGGATGGGCTGGGATAGGTGGATAAACAAAATGAGTAAGTGAATGATGCTTAAAGACAATATTTGGGTGTCCCAAGGAATTCACTTGAGCAGCATGAGTGAAAGTCACAAGAGCTTCCAAGACAAGTGAAATGGGAAGGACCAAGTCATACTCCTGCCAGCCTTCTGCCCCTCCTCCTCCTGAGTGGGGCCCCACACTGTCCCCTACACTGATCCTCCCAGACGGACTGAAGCTGCAGAAAAGTGTGCAAGTGATATAATGGTCAGTGAGCACAGCTCCCCCCACACACTGAGGTGGGGACCAGGAATATAGACACACCTGGGAGAAACACAACTATTGGGGTGTGATTAGGAGGGGGCTGCTGCCAGTTTTTCTTTTAAAATGTTCATTCTGTCACTGTGTTCTCATAGTGAGACTCCTTATGACCTCACATGTATTTCTAGCACTGCCAGATAAATAAGGGGAAAGTAAGGGGGGAACACAGGGCTGGGGATGCTGTAGACAGCATGGAGAACATGCCTCTGAGCAGGGCCCCAGGATGGATTAGGGGTGAGTCCCAGAAATAGGAGAAGAAGCCAGCAGCAAGAGAAGCATCAGAGAAAAAAAACACCTGCTGGGCACATGCCTGCTGGGCATGGGCCAGCCCTCCCCACAAAAAGCTGCTGGTAGGCTAGGAGGTGATTCTTCCATTCACCAAAGATACAGCACTGAGCCACAGAGCAATAAAGTTATATCCTTCCTGATTATTTTCCAACTCTTCTGATTACTTCAATGGGAAAAAACAGTCCTGATGCAGAGCTAATATATTGTAATTATAAAACCTATAAACATGCAGACAAGTAAAGATATAACAGACATTGCTGTACCCACCATGCAGAAATAACCCACAATGTCCTTATGCTTTGGGGCCTTACACTCTCCTGATAATAGAAATAAATCATTCTAGCTATAGCTGAGGCCCATCCCCTCCCTAAGCACTGAAGCTTTGCTATGCAGGATTGGTTATTGGGTTAAGTGTTCTGATGTAAGGTCTCATTGACTTTTCTATACTTTGATATATGTGTATATCTCCATTAATAATGAATATTACAGTTTCCATGTGTTTTTCAATGCTTGTCACAGGCAACTTGCCTGTTTCTTGCACCGTGTCTTTGATGTGTAGGTGAGTGATGCAGGTGGAGTTCTTCCTTGCTGACTTTGCTGCTTTGGAGCAATGCCAGTGTTCACTCGCCCATTCCCCAACCATGGTGGAGTTGGGTCATTTCCTTTCTAGAATTATCGACAGTGACACGGTGAACGTCTTGGTAATGTGCCCTGATGAATATGGGAAAGGGCTTCTCTAGAGCATACATTTAAAAATGACATCATCATATCACAAGGGATACAAAAATCTAAGTAGGGTTGCCGAGTTGCTTTCCAAGTGGTCAGCTGATTCATATTCCCCCAGGCAGAGTACAGGATTTCCTGCTTCCACCACAGTCTCGCCAGCTCAGTGTATTATCAGGCTTTGTAATTTCTGCAGATCTTATGGGTGTGTACAAGTGTATATTTTGTTTTTTTAACTAGCATTTCCCAATTATTAGTGAGGTTGTGTTCTTCATGGCCAATTATGTTTTCTCCTTTGCAAACTGCCCATTCTCTCTTCACACATTTTTAATTAGGTTGCATGTCTTTTCCTTTTTAATAAATTTATTTTAATTGTCATTCAAGTACAGTTTTCTTTTACTCCCATCCCAGCCTACCCATCCCCAGCCTTCCTCACCTCCCTCCCATTTCCACCCCACCCTAGTTTTTGCCCATGTGTCTTTTATACTTGTTCCTGTAAACCCTTCCCCTTTCCCCCTGAAATTCCCTCCCCTCTCCCCTCTGGTCACTGTCAGCCTGTTCTCTATTTCAGTGTCTTTGCTTACATTTTGCTTGCTTGTTTGTTTTGTTGTTTAGCTTTAGTGTCTTTGTTTTGTGGTTCCTATTAAAGATGAGATCATACGGTATTTGTCTTTCACCGCTTGGCTTATTCCACTCAGCATGCTTTCCAGTTCCATCCATGTTGTTGCAAAGGGTAGGAGCTCCTTCTTTCTTTCTGCTGCATAGAATTCCATTGTATAAATGTACCGCAGTTTTTTGATCCATTCATTTATTGATGGGCACCTAGGTTGCTTCCAACTGTTGGCTATTGTAAATTGTGCTGCTATGAACATTAGGGTGCATAGGTTCTTTCGGATTGGTGTTTCAGGGTTTTTAGGATATAATCCTAGCAGTGGAATTGCTGGGTCAAAAGGCAGATCCATTTTTCGTTTTCTTAGAAAATTCCATGCACGTCTTTTTCTTATTTTATCTGGGTTTGTCATACATTTGTATGTTAATTGTCAACAATAGGCATTGGAAATACCTTTTCCTATGCTGTATTTTGCCTTTTTGTTTATTTTTTGGCTTATAAGTTTAATATAGTCAAATTTATCATTCTTTCACTCCACGGGGTTTGCTTTTTGTATCTTGTTCTTTCTTACCTCTGGTATCATAAGGTAGTTTCCAATATTTTCTTATTAAATGTTTTACAATTTTGCTTTTTATGGTTAGATTTTTAGTCCATCCAGAAATATTTCTGAAACC